CTAAAACCACTTTAGCCCCGCCCACTCGTATGCATATTTTTATGTTTAGCGGTCTGCCGTCTGTGGGTGTGACGTCATACCCGAGAGTCCGCTCAGTGTGTTGACATTTCAGTAGTGTATACGCCATTGAGTAGAAAGTGACACGAAGCGCAATATTTTGAATGAAGCGTTGTTGTGATTATGTATTGGAAACTGACAACTGCACTTCGAGTTTTGATGATCATCCAACTGCGTAAACAACACGGGTGTACATTTCCTGAGAAATTGTATTTGGCAAGAGAAAGGGCAGAGATTGTTTACTGTCGTCGTGCGGATTTTGTGAACCCCTCCACGCAAGGTCATCTGTGTTCGTTACACTTTTCAAAGAAGTGCTATGAAAGAGACCTAACCTCTGGCGAAATATGGATACGAATAGGCAAAGCTTGAACTTTATAAGGATGCTATATATCGGGCATTCCTTTCGACATTCCAAACAAACACGAGGCCGAAATGTCAACTTGGGACTGAGACCGAGAGAGTTGCATTCCGGACGCGACGTTGGTTGCAGGTGAGTTTTAAGATTTAGTTGTTTGGAGCAACATAAAAACTCCAGTACTAGCTAGCTGTATAAAGAAACAGTTGATGGAAAAGTACGTCATAATTTGCGCTCATGTCCTATTTTCGATCAGAGATATATTTTCACAGCCACTGTTACTGTTACCCAGTAGGGCCATGTCATCTATTTCCCGAGACGGAATGTTGGGTGTTTTGTGGTGTGAGTGTGTGTGGAGGGATTGGGATGGGGGTGGGCATGGACAAATGAGAACTTACAACATATGAGTGCGGTGGTGAGAGAGATCACATAATTATTAAAACATAATAAAAAATGTGTCATATCAGATAATTATCCACCAGGGACTGGTGTCCCCTACCATGTTAAAATGGTATGTGAATTGTGTGTGTGTGCGTGTGTGTGTGTGTGTGTGTGTGTGTGTGTGTGCGTGTGCGTTTGGGGCATGATTAAAATGTTGACTCTTACTCTTTCTCTCTTGAAGGCAATGTACAATAAATAAAATGAAAATGACTGCTCTGCACTGGCATAAAATTTAGGTATCTATGGACCCCTTGCAAAAACATCAATAGGTAACTTTTAACCTACTTTCAAAAATCGGAAATCAGGGAAATATGTTCATTCAGATAATGTATTTCTTTGTGGGTTTTGTTTTTGGCAAATGTAAAAATGCTACTTTAATGCTATTTTTTAGAATGTATACGGCAGCATTTCTCATCATGAAAACAACCTAAATACCCTAGAAGTGACCAAAACTGGAGAACCCACCTTGGCAGTCATCTACCCCTAAGCCTAAACCAAGAGGCCGAGCCAGTGAACAAGAAACCAACACGTGGTAAATATAATTCAGACAATCAATAATCTTTTGTTGAACTGGTGCACTCACTCGAGTTTGAAAAAAACCCACACTGTTCCTACTACTGCATGTTTTTATGTAACAAATCAGTCAACACAAAGTCTTGTTTGCAAAGACACTGTTTTTTAATCATCATGTCTATTTTCCCTCTCAGCATTTGTTAAGACCAAAGAACTTACTTTTTGAGTGCAGATTTCAAAGAAAATTATTATATACTGATATTGTGTTATAAAATGTCTCTAATTCAATGTAAAATTTATTATACCCCCGCTACGAAGTAACGGGGGTATATAGCGTTCATTCTGTCCGTCCGTCCGTCCCGAAACTTTGTCCGGAGCATATCTCTTAAAGTTTACATGCTAGGTTCACCATACTTCACACACATGTTAATCATTACCCATTGTTGTGCCTTTTGCTATTTTAAAGTTTTTTCAGAATTTAGTTTTTTTGCTGTTTCCATGGAAACACGACTTAGGCTGTGACTATGAGGATGTCATCTTGTCCGGAGCAGATCTTCCAAACTATACATGCTAGCTTCATCAAACTTGGTACACATATCAAGCATGTTCCCTAGATGTGCCTTTTGGGGTTTAAATCCAGATATGAATTGTATTTTTTGCTGTTTCCATGGGAACACGACTTAGAGCCAAATGTGTTCGATTATTTTGTCCAGAGCATATCTCCTAAAGTTTACATGCTAGGTACGTGCAAAATGTATTTGATGGTTACCTGACCACGGCATATCATCGAAACTATACATGCTAGGTTCACCAAACTTAATACACAAGTTAGTCATGACCCACAGATATGCCATGTGCTAAAAAATAGCAATCTTCATCTACGTCCATTGTGTGCAACATGAGACAGTCAAGTTCAATTGTATGTCAGGTTTCCACGGAAAACACAAAAAAATCTAGTTTCCATAAATTATTACCGTAATCAGTACATGCCAAAACTATTATCTAACATGTATATAAAGTTTAGTAGAGTCAAAGAGAAAGTCTTGTGAGCTGCTGATCCTTGTCACATTATATATATCAATATCAGTCATTTCCATGTCCCAAAGTGGGAAGCGGGGGTATGTGAGCTTTGCTCACTTCTACACTTGTTCACAGAGTTTGTGGAATTCCTACTCGGGGCCATTCTCGAGAGAAGAAACATATTTCCTTCCTACAGCCTTGCAGGTCACAACAGCCTATTTTTCCTGGATATTCTGCCAGACACTTTCATTATAACTAGTAAACAGGAACTGGTGAATTCACTGACATTAAGATCTAAAATGAAATCATGTTATGTGTCTAGGGTGTGAACTGAAACCAGTTGTGCCTGATGTCTTATATAAGGTCTATTGTATTCGTCTGTTCGAATCCTGGGACTTGTTCAGATGATAAATGTCACCACTGTGTCACATGGTGTTATTGGAGATCAATCTTGTTTTCTTAGGTTTTTACAAGTCCATCACTTTATTAAAATTAACACGCAAGTCTTGGCCTTCATGATGTTGGTGTACACACTGTATTCATTAATTTGTCATAAACAGTTTGTATGCAAATAAATTATTTGCTTTCTTGATTTGATCGATCGTCTTTCTTTGGGACTGATCACACTTTACGCATTACTACTAGAACACAATGAAGAATTTTCTTTTTCACTAGCTGACAGTTAAAGAGATAGATAAAGATTTGTCAGTTCTATTTTTTTCATCTGTATATATTTATTATATCTATTATCAGCTGTTAAGGAGGTTACAGGTCTTTATCATTTTATGTATCTTTTGTAGATTTATATGACTAAGTATCAAGACAAATAACCGATGCTTTACACGTGAATGGAAATCGAAAATGTAATAAAACTGATGTTTGATGCACCATATCAGAGATGATACACCGACTTCTCCGAAAACATATACTAACGAATTTAGGGTACTTCTGTACTGTATACAGTAGTGAGGTCGAACTTATCGACTTCCGTAAGTACCATACTTAAACCTTTACGGACAAATTTAGCAGAAGACTCATTTTATGAAATAAAGCTGAAAGTTACTTAATAATCTTCATAAAATCATGAACCTCAAACGTCACTATTTCAGTGTTCCTATACTGATATATACCGGAAGACAGGCTCAACACATTGATCATTGCCGTTATCATGACTGCAAATGTTACCGTGACCGCGGAAAAAATTATTCAGTATCTAATCAGTTTTCTATGAACATGTGATAGGCAAGTGGCTTGCATACCAGTCTGCAGTAGGTCTATTCAAAACATAGTCATAGTCTGGATCGTCCCACGGCTGTATGTTGTCAACTGGTGGAATCGTCGTTAATATTCCTCTCGGTCTTGCCTCTATATATACTTTCAAATTGAAAATGTTGCATATATGTGATATTATCTGTATCTATAGTTTGGCATGAAATGCATGTGGACCCGGTTTTTTGTAAATATCTCTTCATCCAATGACCCAATCGATCTCAAACTGTGCAAGTGGACGTTGTTGTCAGACAACCTAATCACATTGTAAATCACCGATTTTATGCATTTGTATTAAAGAATCTGTCTATGTAACTGTCGACAAAATAAACAGCAGAACGCAGAATGCTTGCAGAGGGAGGGAGCCAATGACCTGTGACAGCGGCAGTGTTGGGTCATAAATCTGTACACAAGTCTGTGAGTGTACCGACATCACTCAGTAATATTGAGGGTCAACGTGCGGGTGTCATGTCAAGGAGCTCTGACAGGCCCTGGTCGCCTTCTTTGATACCAGCACAACAAAATTTCGTCCAGTATACTTCAGCATTTACTCTTTAATATTTAACGTCAGGACAAAAAAATGTCCAGTCCAGTCCTCAGAAAAGTTAGGGAGTGTTTTAACACCGCTTTTAGCAGTATCACGGTGGGACACCTAAATGGGCTTCACACATTTGGTCCATGTGGGGAATCAAACCCGGGTCTCCCGTCTGACGAGCAGACGAGTCAACATGAATGTTCATGTTCTCCAAGATAAACTGTTTAACATATTCAAACCCAAACCAACAGACAGCATGTGCTTTGTGAATGTGTAGAGTGTAACAGACCCACAAAATATTAACGGTGTGACGTATTCCTGGCTGAGTGAGTGAGTGCAGTTATGCAGTCATCCAGCTATATCACAGGAGCCTGAAGTTTGTAATCTTAACACTATCACATCTATAAGACTGCGTCAATAAATCTTGAATCGTTACCCTGCGCATTCAAAACACAATCACTCATTCGACATCACTCCTTTTCCGTAGCATGCAAACTGTCCCTGAATGACGAGTTGATCACGAATGAACCACGTCAACCCTGGACGGTATATCTCTTCCTGTGCTCAGTTTCCCTCTACACCGGTTACCTAGGGTCTATCTTGCCTGATGATCAGTTTCCCTCTACACCGGTTACCTGGCTGTCTCAGGTAAGTGTGTTGTCACAGGGGCTGTTTCTATTCCAGTTATAACGCTACACACCTGTCCTGCTGTGTACAGGCAACATCACAATGGTTCATCTAACTGTTGGGTCATCTCCAGGCACATTCTCAAATCCAGGCACCTAATATGCTGTAATATTTAGACTGAGCATGGTGTTTGAAGTGTCTACTTTCATTACTTCCTTGATTGGCCTGTTGACTTCAATACTGAGATCTGTCCCGATGTATGTGGATGTATGTATCCCGTGTGTATGTAAAAGTTATTACTGAATTGATCTCTGATAAATGCTACATCACAAAATATGGTAAAATACTTTTACATAACCACATTATTTTACAACTAATGTAGCGGAATCCGAACTGAACTTCTCCTACTTTCGATATGGTAATGAGCGGGTGTCGCCATGTAACTCTGTCAGGTGATTGACATGCTGCACACGGTACATAACTGCATGTTGTAATGCTGGTGACGACGAGTTGCAAAGATCCATTGACGAGCTGCTCACAGACAGGTCACTGATTCATGGTGCTCCGTGACACCAAAACATACCCAGTCTGTTATACTGTACAATGTCATGTGGTAATGCTTGTCAACCTCAAAAGATAACATATTCCTACAGCACAATAGCACAACTCATACAACAGCACGGGGGACCGACCACCTGACTTTAATGGCAGTGTTTCGTGAAGTAAACACCTGAACTAAATTATGAATTAATACCGTAAACGAGCATGGTTTGAAACCAACAAAAACGACAACATAGAAATGTGCTGTAATTAAGAGTTGTGTTCTAAAATTAACTAAGTTCAGAAATCGGTACAAAGGCACCACAAATGCCCAAATCCATTCGTATTGTGGCTCAACGGTTCCAGTATGTCAGGCAAAAGAGATAATTTTGTGTTTGTGTAAACCGTGAAATATCTGAGGAAATGTATCTTGTGTGTTTTACGTATGAAAAAGTATCCAGTATCAATATCAGGCCAAAGAAAGAATCTACAAGACGGACAGAATAAAACAAACAGACGGTCACTTCCCTTCAACCAATATCCAGTTTCCAATGCTTCTCAAATACAAGATTGTTTGTGTAAAACGTGAAATATGTGATAGAATAGCTATTCTATGTTTTATTTATGACCAGGAAGACAGAGCGACCCACACACGCACACATCATACACACACAATATAGACGGCCCAATAGAAACCCGTCTACCAATGTTATCTCTCATTGATTATAGGATCTACATACATCTGGAATATGTTTTCATTGGTTCATAATTCCAAGAGCAGGATTTACTAGACATAGTTCTTTTAGACCTGTCAGTAAATCGGGACTACAAATATGGTGGGTGTTTGTGTAATGAATGTTATGGTTTGTATAGTGGATAGAATGTTTATGTCGTGTCTGCTGACTTTTGGTAGGAGAGATGGCGACCTCCCAGAAGTTGACAGAACACTTCCTGACATGCACCATATGTACAGAGGTGTTTGACAAGCCCTGTACACTTGTGTGTAATCACACCTTCTGTCGGAAATGTGTCGTCAACTACACCAAAACCAGACGGGAAGCCCTCAGTGCCAAGTCTCTCCTGTGTCCATTCTGCAGGAAGATGACGAAGGTGTCTGACCCCAAGAGACCAGTGGAGGAGTGGGCGGATGACGTCAAGCCGAGCTTTGTCATCCAGGGACTGTTGGACTCGTTTGGCCCCGGATCTAAAGGTGAATAGTTGTAGGTTGTAGCGATATACGTGTTGTTTGCAAGCAGGTAACAGAATAATTGATTTAAGCAATATAAATGTTTGTGATGTTATGAGCACTGTATGACCCCTGCTATGTATATACTAGTATAGTTTGATGTATGTAAAAATCTGATTGTGAGGAATGTGAACTTTCATTGTGGATATGTGTTATACGAACAAGACACAGCATATCAGGTGACATGACCAAAGACATATATAAACCTTATTCATGATCCGTACAACAACGTTTACGGTGAGACAATTCCAAACATATTTACATGACGTTTCAATCTGAGACGTGTTCCGATGTTTCCGATACATTTTCTCACATGTGTCAAGTAGGAACATGATGCGACACATCCAGCCCTATAATACATTGTGATGTAACCAGGTTAATATCACCACATGTAACCCTATAATACATTGTCATGTCACCAAGTTAATATCACCACATCTAGCCCTAGAATACATTGTGATGTCACCAGGTTAATATCACCACATCTAGCCTAATAATACATTGTGACGTCACCAAGTTAATATCACCACATCTATCACCTATAATACATTGTGATGTCACCAGGTTAATATCCCCACATCTAGCCCTATAATACATTGTGATGTCACCAGGTTAATATCACCACATCTAGCCCTATAATACATTGTGATGTCACCAGGTTAATATCCCCACATCTAGCCCTATAATACATTGTGATGTCACCAGGTTAATATCACCACATCTAGCCCTATAATACATTGTGATGTCACCAGGTTAATATCACCACATCTAGCCCTATAATAAATTGTGATGTCACCAGGTTAATATCACCACATCTAGCCCTATATACATTGTGATGTTGTGATGTCACCAGGTTAATATCACCACATCTAGCCCTATAATACATTGTGATGTCACCAGGTTAATATCACCACATCTAACCCTATAATACATTGTGACGTCACCAAGTTAATATCACCACATCTAGCCTAATAATACATTGTGACGTCACCAAGTTAATATCACCACATCTATCACCTATAATACATTGTGATGTCACCAGGTTAATATCACCACATGAATGAATGTTTTTTCAGATACAACTAACTGCAGTTATTGCAAGGAGGAAGGGGAAACAATTCCAGCTACATCTTGGTGTTCTGTTTGTGACGACGCACTGTGTGAACGATGTACACGGATGCACCAACGAATCCCCTCTTTCCGTCACCATGACGTAGTTGACCTGTCTGGAGAGACAAGGGTCAAGGTCAAGAGAAAGGTCATGTGTAAAGTTCACAAGGACGAGAATATCAAATATCTTTGCAAAGATTGTAAAACAGCTGTTTGTCAAACATGTTGCACGATCCATCACAGGAAATGTGAGTTGGTTGTTGAAATTGAGTCAGAGATTCCTGCAATGAAATTCGAGCTGAGAAAGAACAAAAAGAATTTGTTAATGAAACACAATGAGATGAAAACACATGTTGGAAAACAAACCTACAAAGTTGGTGAAGAATTGGCTCGTTATGTACAAATAGAATCAAACATCAAGTCTGCAAGTCTCAAAGCAATACAGATGATCAAAACCAAGGAACGGAAACTTCTGTCTGAACTGAAAGAGATGTCTGACAGACACATTGGACAGCTGAAGGCAGACATAAAGTCAGGTGAGATGTCAGTACAGATGTATCAACAACAGACTGAGCTAATAGACCAGGCTCTACAATCTGAGTGTGACATGGATGTGTATGAGATGTATCAGGGATGTGAGGCCGGTGATGTGGAGACTGTCGGAGTCTTAGACGTGGAGGAGAAGGGAAGAATAGACAGGATAACATTCAGACAGGACACGGACAAGCTGAGTAGAACACTGGAAGATCTCCATCTGGGTGAGATACACGTCCAGTATGACGATGTGCTGGACCTGAAGGCTGCTCCTGTGTTACAGGGCACCATTACTGTGCTGGACCTGAAGGCTGCTCCTGTGTTACAGGACACCATTAATGTGACTGTAGCAGGAGATGCAGGTAGAGGAGACCCCTATCACGTAACAATGCTAGTGGTGAATGGTACAGACACAGTGGTAGTTACAGACTACAACAACAAAAGTGTCAAGTCCTTCTACACCAGGAACAGTCAGCCAGGTCACAGCAAGCTCAGTCTGGAAGGTAGACCATGGGGTATAACAAGGCTGAAACACAACCAGGTGGCTGTCACTGTGCCGGATACCAGTCAGATTGTAACAGTTGAAGTGAACCCTGACCTAGTGATGCTGTCGACCATCACAACCAGCAAACAGTACTTGGGTATAACGTCTCTGACATCATCAACACTAGCAGCAAGTGCCAAGTCCCCTCCGTGTGTTGATATCCTGGATATGTCAGGACACGTGCAGAAGACAGTTTGTCGGGGTCACAGAGGTGGAGACATCTTAAAGTATCCCTGCTTCCTCTGTACCACGAGGACAGGAAACATCCTGGTGTCTGACGGTGGAACCAAGTGTGTCGTGTGTCTGACGCCAGAGGGAGATGTGGTGTTCAACTACAGACCTACGGGAGACACAGCACTGAAGTACCCACGTGGTATCACAAGTACCAGCACAGGCGACATCCTGGTGACAGACTTCTCACTAGACAGAGTCATCCATCTGACAGAGTCAGGACAGTTTGTTAGAAACATACTGACACCACAGGATGGTGTCAAGAATCCATGGGGACTGTGTGTTGGTGGGCGTGGTCGTATTTACTTGTGTATAGACAAAGTAGTGAAGGTGTTTACATACTGTAAGTGAGAGAACGTGTCACAATCTCTTTCTTTATGTTAAATATAGATATATGTTACCTGGATAGATAGGATGTGATGCACTGTAGGAACATTTGACTTTTGATGTGAACGTGACGAATCATGCCTGTTGTAGAAAGACACAACTTGTAATATAATGAGTGTTGGTTGGGTAGCCTAGTGGTTAAAATGTTTGCTCGTCACGCCGAAGACCCCAGTTTGATTCCTTACATGGGTACAATGTGTGAAGTCCATTTCTTGTGTCCCCCGACATGATATTGCTTGAATATTGCTAAAAAGCTAAAAGCGATATAAAACCATACTCTCTCACCTACTGGAATGGAATGTAATGTAAGCAGCCATTACTTCTACTTTATATTCAGATATATTGTCTCAATAACACTATGAGGTCCAAAATCATGTAAAATATTGATATTTTGAGTTGTAATGCTTTTGAATCACTTTTTCTATAAGTGACTTTGATGAACAATTGTTTTACAAAATGTACTGAATGGGTCAAAAGGGATAACTGAGTGGTCAAAGGGAGATAAGTGGTTATGAGAAGTATACGAAGAGCCATAAAATGTAGCGAACGAATGAATAGTTTATCAGTGAGTTAGTTGCGGTTTTACGCTGCTTTTCACATTATTCCACACATTGTAATTTGTTGGGAATCGAACCCGGGTCTTCGTCGTGATGAAGGGACACTTTAATCACTGGGTTACCCAGCCCCTATTTTATCACAATTTCTGTTTAGTGTGCGTGTTATAAATTGATACATGCAGTGTTTATACCGACGTGTACAGTTATATACTCTCTGCCTCATATCATTCATTCACTTAATGGAGGAATAAGAAACGTTGTGTTCCTCATAATAAAGAAGTTGACATCGATAAAACTCTCTTCCTGATGTGTATCCTTTCTAAATGCCATCAAAGACTTGATGTGTTACATGTACGTAGTGATGTCTGGCTCAGTATAGAACATTGCCATTTCCTTTGCTAATATGTTATACTATCCTTGCAATTGTTCTGCCTTTGAAATTTCTAATTATGATGTGCCTTGATTTGTAAACTTGGTTACTTTTATAATACGATTGTTAATTTGTTGAATGTAGTGCAGTTGTTTGTTGTTTCACACTATACTAAACGCCAAAAGAAACGTTACCCTCCTTCCTAAATGACGGAGGTACCTACCTTCAGCTGGCGGTGTGATGCGTGGACGTCCACTACTTGGTCTGTCTCCGGGGACCCCAGTCTGTCTGAAGCCCTGAATAAGTCTTATAACCGTGATACGATGGCATCCGAGGGCGTTGGCAACAGCATTGTATGTCGACCCCATCTGCACCATTACAATGGCTCTTTCTCTCTCTTCAGCTGTTAATCGTGGCATATTTCTCGTACTTGTCTATCATATGTGAAATGGATGCAAATACTGCATGCATATTGCTGCGTTTTGTCGATTGATATTGCTAAGTGTAAGCAGAAAATGGATAAATGTTACTTTGCAAGCAAAAAGATGACGGACCGGAAGTGGTACATCCAGGGGACATGCGCTTCGACCGGGCAGGGTCTGTTTGAGGGTCCCGACTGGTGAAAGATTTCAAACTGAGCAGGAGGCGGTGAATCTTTAAAGACGGAAATAACCACAAACTTGTGTTTGCGATAATGTCCAGAAGCTCAGGGATGACCATCTGAAGGGTATCTGTGTTGAAACCTGAATGGACTGATGTGACCTCCCACAAAAATATTTAATCACGTGTTTGTTTGTTCAATACATGATATGCAAGTTGAAATTCTGTAATACGACACTGACAAGGTTTGTCAAGTCTATATTGTGGTGGAGGAAGCCAAAAGGAGGACCCCGCTGTTGCGACACGTTGCCATCAGAACAAAGACTCCAATCTCGATGTTACTGATTCAATCTTATGCCCAGTCCGTCTCCATGGTTACCGATCCTTACCGTGATGTCACGTGATGACACGAGATCTGTAGCGCTATCAGTCTTTCGTTACTGTTATACGTATGTAGCAATTTGTTATATAATTCATCGTGTAAATACTCATATGATTCCAACATTCCTTGTTTTGTCTTTTATCTGAACACGTGGTATGGTGTTTGTGTTTTCAATACGTGTGTATATGTTCATGTTTTATTTACCTGTTATTTTGTACTTGAGATGTCATTGTAATTGTTTTGGCAATAAAAGTTAAATTTTTAAGTTTTCCATATCAAATTATTTGTCAATAACAGACATCAAGACACAGAAACCATACTCTGGGTAAGCACACTGTGCAATGTTTAGTATCGATCCCTGAATGCACATTTCAGAGATGCGGCGTACAACAATATCCACTCATTCCTTCTTTTGACCATCCGATATTGCATCGTCAACTCATCTGTGGCGGACGTTAAATGAATTAAAAATTCATATCACATATTTATTATCGCATTACACAAAAAACTATCTATTTAATGGACATCCAATTTCAGATTGTTTCCTAAATATCCGTTTTATAAAAGTCGGATCGCGGTTCCTTTGATCGGTTTATGGGTACGATGCAGCAATAGGTATTGGCATTGTACGCATTCTACCCCAACCCTGAAGAATTATTGCTTCTGATTCTGTCATTCCAACAGAACGGGCATTTCAAATTCCATTATTTCCCTCCAAAGTAGCAAGCCTATTGGTGTTATATGTGTTTATGACATGTTATAAGTAATGTATTTTTTACCCAATTATCAGAGGCAACAACAGTTCAATTTTCATAACCAGTTTTCAATATGATAATGTTTCTGAAATGTGTAATCAAGTTTTCTATTGATCATTAACAGGCTGTCTTTTTCTACTAAGATCATTATCGGACATATGTAATATAGCAACCATTGATATTGCGTTAGGAAACTAGCTCGATAATGGATAACGGTCCTTTTGACTGGAGGATCTGGGTAGTTAAAGCAGAAAAAGTTATCAAACGGTCTGAAGTTACAGTGACCAGTTATCACACGTGTAAATATGCATTAGAATTAGTCTTCGGTCATTTCATCGATTGCATCCACTTGTCTTACAACATTTTATGTTATGGTTAAGCTAAACTCTATCAAAAAGGCTGATTTTAGACATTTCAATACATTTTGAGCACGAACAAATGTTTGAATGAAGCTGGGTTTTCAAGGAAATGAAAATAAAGCCGAGGGAATAATTGGACATTATTAATATCCTCCAACGACCATATCAGTTTTCGTGAAATGATAAAATAGTTGACAATCTAGTGATTGATACTGTGAGCATTGATCTACACTGATCCGTCCACACTGATCCACACCGTTGGGTGAGACTAGCATAGGCTCTGACTACCCGAGCGGCGGTGGGGTAGCCTAGTGGTTAAGGCGTTCGCTCGTCACGCTGGTTCGATTCCCCAGATGGGCACAATATGTGAAGCTTATTTCTGGTGTCCCCCGCCGGGATATTGCTGGAATATTGCTAAAAGTGGCGTAAAACTAAACTCAATCACTTTTTATTGTGTTTTATGTTAAGAGAGGGTGATAATTTACCATGCACCATGTACTATTACAATGCCCTGTCTATTCTGATATACGCTGCAGATATATACCCCAATATTATTATGTAAATCCCAACATACAGAAGTTTGTGAATTTACTTAATAACCAAAATGCAAATGTTATTTTACGCCTTGCCATATTTGTAAACAAACTCAATAACATTTTCTGATGCTTATACCAATGCACTTCCCATGTCAGCAATCCATGTAAAAGAGTGTCATTGTTCTTTTGGCTTCATGGCCACTCTACGAAATAAATCTGTCTGTCTGTGGTGATAATTTATGCTGCATGAAATAACCTAAACTCGCAAATGTTTGATCTAACTGAACCAGGGAAACAATACTCGTATAAAATATATAAAAATATGCTCTTAAAAATAGCACAATCTGTAAATAATTTCACTTACTGAGAGATGGAGATGACGGAGACCACTAAAACACAGTACTACTACTACTACTACTACTACTACTACTACTACTACTATTGCTGCTGCTGCTGCTGCTACTACTACTACTACTGCTGCTGCTGTTGCTACAGCACCTGTTACTACAACAATGCTACTATTACTACTTCACCAATTCTAAGTAGAATAGTTACTAGAGAATCATTCATTCAAGAGGGGGTCTTAAAAATAACACGCATATTTGGAGAGCGTCATTATAAAGAGGAAATCACTAATTGCACCCATAATAGTCAATTTTAAAAGTTGTCAAGGCGCTTGGAAGAAACAAACCCTAATAATCCCTAATTCCCTAATCCTTGGTAGGTATACATTGTGCTCTATTTTTATTTCTCAGTCAGGGTTGGGGACTGTTAAGATCCAAGGGACGTAACTCTAGCCGCACTGAGTCATTGGTGGTGCAATAACATTACCTTCGTTGGTATGTGTTGTCAATGTTGGAGGTAGATTGTAATTGACAATGTATGGGATTCAAAACGGGCGATAATTGCAGTATCGACCAGGTGTGTTCTATATTAAGCAACCATTACTACTGTGACAAATTCGCTTGGGTTATAAACAGTGGAGCGGCGGGGAGAGAATGTACTGTTTGAGGAAGTAAACAGGGGAAACTTGCAGAAGTCTCGTCTTGAAGAAGAGTAGCATCGCTCAGCAGTCAGCCGAAGCCGAGACTAAAAATAACCCACTAACGACTCGCCAGGTAAGTCAGCGTTACGAACAGATCCTCGAAGGTTTCATTCAAAAATAAACCCCCAAACCAAAGTTGACCCCGCAAAGAGCGACTTTCAGTGGAAAGCCAGTGTACAGTTCGGTAGTGTTATTAAAGTTATAGTATCGTGTGGATTCATCCAGACAGTTAAATTTATTGTTAACGAATCGATATTCATTGGAAAATTGAAATGACATTCATAATATATTCTGTGCTGTGTACCAAACAGTACACTACTCACCATAGAACTATATAGCTACTATTCTATACTGTACCAAACAGTACACGACTCACCACAGAACTATA